GCGCAAAGGCGACGCGAGCCCTCCAGCGTGCGCGAGGTCGCCGTGCGAGAGGAGGACCGCGTCCACCCGCGCGGCCACCCCGCGCAGCGGCTCCAGCACGGACACGTCGAACGGCGGCTCCCAGCCGCAGTCGAGCAGGAGTGTGAGGCCGTCCACCTCGAGGAGCCCGGAGGGCGCTGCGCCGCCCGACGAGCCGCGGAGCGGGGTGAAGTGCACGCTGGTGCGGACGGTGGTGGGTGCGGCGAGAGCGCTGCCGCTGGCGCTGGCCATAAATATATTGGCGCTGGCAGTGGCGAGCGCGGGCAAAAAGAATTCAACAAAACAGAACGCGGGCAAAAAGAAAGAAAGAACGCATGAAACGCAAGGGAGGGATGGGAGGACGGCACGCCGCCACCACACAGGGATTTTAAGGAGAGGGGTGTGATGCGCTAGCCGTCGCCCACCCTAGGGAGTCTGCCTCTTCCTATCTCCCTTCGCAGTCTCTCGCCGCTTCTCGCTGCAACCTTCATGCCACCTCGCGGCCGTCCCACTCTCGTCGTTCTCTCCCTTGTCACTTCCTCCTCTGTCGCGTCATTCTCTTCTGCCTCGTCCTGCGCCGCCGCCGCCTGCCGTTCCCTTGTTCTCTCGGCTTCTTTCGCCTTTCGGCGCAGCTCCGCCCTCCTTGCTGCATATCCTGGCCCCTCGAGTCTATCGAGCTCCCCTCGCGCAAGGACCACATTTCTGACTCCCACTCCGATCATTTGCCTCCAAGTCATGTCGTTGCTCAGGTCCACTCTCTCTTCGAACACTGGCACGATCGGCCGGCGTTCGAGCCGGCGCTCTTATGCTGCCGGTTCGAATCCCGGTGGTCGTGTCGTCGCGGAGCGACGCGGATCGCGCGCGTGTGCGCCTGCGACAAGACGAGACGAGAAGCAGAAGCGAACGTCGATGTTTTTGCTGCCGCGGCCGCGCCGCGACCTCCCGTTTGTTTTGGCGCCGATGCAGCGCCGTAGTCTCTCGCCGCGCGAGATGGCGCCGCCTGAGGGAGGGTGTAGAGGATGTAGAGTGTAGAGCGCTGTAGAGCTGTAGAGCTGTAGAGCTCTACATCCGCCGCGGGACGAGGCGGGTGCGTTGTAGAGCGATGTAGAGCGCGATTTTGTTGTAGAGTTTGTTGTAGAGGCTCTACAGCCAAACCGCCGGGAAGGCAGTGACTCAAAGAGGTCGAGTCGCACTAATGGGGTGTCTCCGAGCTTACTGGAGCTCTGATGGACGGCCCTGACTATCCCTGACACACAGAGAGTCACTCTGACGGCACACAACACCCTATAACTGCGTCATGACCAGCCTGCCATGCGTCGCCGGTGCCGCATTCGTCGCAGTGCTTCTGTAGCAGGCGGTGGACTGTCGGCTGCGAGGACGGTCGCATTTGCGCGAGGCGAGGCGAGCATTGCTGCGCGTTGCATGCGCCATGCCTCGCGCCAGCGCGTTCGACGGGGCTTGGCGAGCGGCCGCGCTGCGGGGCAGGGCTGGTGAGAATGGGCTCTGGCCACTCGCCCGTGCGGTTGTAACCCCGCATCTGTCGGACAGAGGCCTCGACCGCCCCTCGCGGCAAGCTCTCGAGCATCTCGAGCAGCTCGCCCGCCGCCATCGCCGCCTCGAACTGCTCCCTCATGCCGAGCGCGCCGCATACCCTGCGGACCGCCTCCTGCTGCACCTCGTCCGGCGTATCGGTTTC